ACCCCAGAGCAGAGTAGCTCTGAAACAAGTGTTCAGTTCTCACATTAATTCAGGCAACCCACCTCTTAAGCAGATCTCTAGTTTTCATAGCAAGTGATGAATAAATTCATTGCTTGACCTTACTAAGTGGAAAGAATATAGGCTTGAATAACTGTAAATAATAAAATATCCCCAAATCATAATTTCTCAGTTTGGAAAAATGTTATGTGTGTGTAATTGATGGATCTGTTTTACTACTGTCAATATTAAAAATAGTTTTATTTGTAAATGTCAGCTAATGTTCTGTACTGTGGTATAAAATGCTCTGGTTCAATGCCAGAGCATTTACTCAGGGAAACTCAGCCAGAGTCCTGAGTTTGATAACCAGCCAGGACACCAGGAGCAAAAGCTCTGAACATTGGGGCAGCATGGCTAAGGATAAATATAAGATGTCATGGATGGTTTTGATAGGAAGTTATTTGTTAAAGATTAGAGTTTACTAAGCTTTCATCAATCTGCTATTTGGCTTCTTTACTTAGCAAAAAGTGAAGTTGGAGCAGAGCTTGTGGCTATGAGGCACACTCAGGGTTTATGCATTTACCATTATCTTCCTAGGTAGACCTTTGCACAAAAGAGTCTCAGATTTCTTAATATGTTGAACTCCTTCCAAACAAAATGCACTATTTTGAACTATACAGATTTTGCAATGTAATTTTCTATACTTGTAAAGGGAATAGAATTTTTATTATATTTCCAAGAATTAAGCATATTCCTTTGATGATAATGAATACGTATGTGTTTTAGAAACTCGTGTTTAAAAACATGGAAGGAGTTGTCAGCATTTGGATGAATATCAAAAATGTTGTGCACTAGTTTGGCTATTCATGAAATCTAGTAGTTTTCCCGAGGGCAAAAGGGAAGAGTTTAATCTACAGCCAAGATTGTGTCAATCTTGTACAAAATAGTATGTCTCTGTAATTATGCTGTAATTAATATTAGTATATTTTAATTTCAACATTTGGTTTACTCACAAACACTAGGAATTTGTTGGCATCTTAGAGTTAGCCTAATGAGCCAACTTTGCTTGCTTATATATCATTTTGTAAGTGGTTTTTAAATTACAAACAAAATCTATCAGTTTCTCAGTCCCCAAGTTTTTTTTTAATTTATTTATTAGTTCTAGTTAGGGAACAAGCTTGTTT